TCCTGACCTCGGTCGGCGTCTGTGCAGCGCCCGGCACGACGGGGCCCTGTTCTCGGTCGGGGTCTGTGCAGCGCCCGGCACTACGGGGCCCTGATCTCGGCCGGGGTCTGGGCAGCGCCCGGCACGACGGGGCCCTGATCTCGGTTGGCGTCTGTGCAGCGCCCGGCACAATCTCATTTGGTGCCTCTAGACTTTGCTGCAAGTCACAGAATGAATAAGGCTCCTGAAGTGCTTTATAAACCATGGTCCTGATCCGGTGTCCATGGAAAGGGATCCCAGCGGCTCTGGCTCAGACCCACCCACCCCAACATCAGTGGAGAGCAGCTCGTTTCCCCTAACCAAGGCCGTCCCGGGGCGGGGGAGGGGGAAGCTGGCTCTTTAAGAGGGCGTGGCTCCAGGTAGCCTGCCTCCCAGGTGAAGGGAATGAGCCCAGGAGTGGAGGGGAAGGTGTTGCATAAGGTGGGAGGGGACCTGCTGGGGGAATATAAGGGCAGCCTCCCCTCCTGGGTGGGGGTTGAGGTTCTTAGATCTCAGGGGCAGGGTTTGGAGTCTGGGGATGCTTGTGTGCTGTGGATGGACAGAGAGAGTTGTGTTGTTTTGAGCTGTCTGTTAATACATCACAGTAGCTGGGAAAACAGCCCCCTCCCCTGGGGAATCTGATTAACCGGGGAAGGAAGGGTAATGGAGGCCTTAGTGGGGTCCCGAGGCCAGACAACAGCCTGCCCCTTTGAGCCTCCCCCTCCCGCACAAAACATTTGTCACAACTGGCCAGAAAGTGCCTTTGCTTCCTAGAGTATATGAACCAGAGGCAGCGTGGCCTAGTGGATGGAGTACTAGCCTGGGCGGCAGGAGCCCTGGGTATGCCTGGCTCTGTGACTGGGGGCAAGTCCCTTCCTGCCCCTCCCCCCTTCCTGTGCCTTAGTTTCCCCCAGCTGCAAAATGAGGATGATAATACTAACTTCCTTGGTAATTTGCCTTGAGATGGCAGGCGTGGCTGGGACTCGGAGCAGCGGGCGCTGGCCAGTTCCAGATTTCCGCCTCAGTGAGGCAAAGGACCGTCTGATGTTGCAAAAACACAAGCCCGGAGCGGGCCTGAACCAACAGGGAGCAGCTCAACCCCGCGGAGCCCGGCGGTGTTAGGTGAGAGCCTCCGGGCCCAGAGCCCGCATCCTCTGTTGTGCAAAACAGACCTGGGGCTAATTTCATTCTGGCAGCTGGAATGGGGGCAGGAGGTGAAAACACAAAGAAAAGTCAGAGTGAAATTCACCCCTGTGCTGGGAGCCTAAATCCATCCCAGGACTCCTGGGTTCTTTCCCCAGCTCTGCGTGGGAAGTGAGATCTACGTAGAGCAGGGAGCTGGGAGGCGTCATGCAGTTTTATGAGGCGCGTGTTATCAAAGTGGCCAGGACTCCTGGGTTCTTTCCCCAGCTGCCAGTAGGGAGTGTGATCTATGGGTTAGAGCGGGGGGCTGGCAGTCAGGACTCCTGGGTTCTATTCCCAGCTCTGGGAGGGAAGGGGAGTCTAGTGGTAAGAGCAGAGAGAGGCTGATAGTCAGGACTCCTGGGTTCTCTCTCCAGTTTAGGAGGGGGACTGTGGTCTAGTGGCTAGAATCAAGATTCCTGGGTCTTATCCCCAGCTCTGCGAGTGATTCGCTGTGTCCCCTAGGGGGGGCAAAGGGGCCCTTGCCGCTCCGTGCCTCAGTTTCCCCATCTGTAAAATGGGCCCTTGCTGCTCCGTGCCTCAGTTTCCCCATCTGTAAAATGGGGATAACGATACTAACCCAGCTCAGAGACCTTCGGATGGAAGGCGCTACGTAAGCACCAAGTATTGTATGTGATCTTAGCAATTGAGCTTCCGTCTGCTCTGTGTTGCTATTACAGATCCCTGTGGGGCGTAGTTATTGACTAGAGATTTACCCTTGGCCCCTCAGCCAACATGTCCAATCTTCTCCCCCCAGCTAATACAGTAATTAATGCTTAGCTCTTAGGGGTCAATGGAAGCAGGAGGATGTGGGCGCTAGTTCCCCTATAAAGGTCTGGGGATTGTTACTCTCAGCCATGTGTGGTGCTCCCCTCCAGAGGTGGCTGCATTTCGATGGTGCCATGCGTATGCTGCTTGGGGGCTCATTTGGGACAAAATGCAACCGGGGGGTGAGGTTAAAATCTACGGAGCCGGTACAGACCCTGTAACTAGCATGGCTTGGGGAGGCAGCGGCCGGGGTACTAACCTCAGATGTGGGAAACTTGGTTTCAAGTCCCCTGCTTGGCCCAGATCCTCAAATGCATGGAGACTGCGTGGGTAGGACTGGAAGGGAGGAGTATCAGTACCTTTGAGGATCTGGGCCTTAGCCGTTCCGTGCCTCAGTTTCCCCAGCGGTACAGTGGGCATAACAGTCCTGCCTCCCAGGGATAATTACATGAAGAGGGTGTGGCGCTCAGACCCCGCAGCGATGGGGGGGTCAGTTCACCCCACAGCTAGAGGAAAGCTTGAGATGCGGAGCGAGAGGTTCAGAAGCAGAAAGCCAGTCAGATCCGTAGCTGGTGCAGCAGTTTTCACCAGTCCCTTGTGCACGCCGTGGGCTACCCGCCCCTCTTTTTGCCCTGCTCCCAAGGATCTCCCAAGGCGCTGAGCACCAGAGACTCTGTCCCTTACCTGCAGAGATCCTCAAAGCCCTGGAAATTCAGTTTCTTTTTCTTCTTGTCGTTCAGGCAGTAGCCGATGCGTTTCCCTTTCCTCCAGCTTGGCATCTTTTTGCATCCGTCTCTTTATTGAGAAAATAAATAAACCAAGCCCCACACCTCTCGGTGTGGAAATCTCCCTCTGTGTGAAATGTGAAAATATTGTCTCCGCTGCGTCCGGGCCTCTGCCCTCTTCGATCCGAAAGCGCCGGCCCCTCCCCGAGTGGCAAAGTCCTTTGCGAGCAGGAACTGGGCAGGGTGCACGCAAGGTGGCAAATTCTATCTTCCTCCGATCAGCTGATGTGCCGTAAAATATCGATCCCTGTTGCTTAATAACTCGCGGCCGGCAGCCTGTTACCTGAGCCTGGGCTGGGGCTGATTGTCAGCCGTGATAAACGCCGCGAAACGCACGCTGAGCACCAGACCTCTGGCCTGTGATGCCATCGGGTTGGTTACACCCCGTCCAATTTAGTGCTTTGCAAATGCTGAAGCAGAGATTTCTGCTGAGCCTCCCCCAGAAAGCATCCCTCAGACTTGGGCCATCAACCACCTGATCCCTGGTACGTGCAGAAAATAGGGGTCTCCCCCTTTCTGTGCGTCAGCCGGGCCGGTGCTCAGATCATATTGCACCAGCAGCCCGGGAAAGAAACCTAGTGATTGATTCCCCTCCACGCACAGGTAGAAATTTGAGCAAAAGGATATGCGTGGGAGCGCCAATCTCTTCTGCATTTAGAGGCAGGAAGATCAAAGGCTGCTTAGATTGGTACAGGGGAAAATCTCACAGCCCAGCTCACCTCCCCAGGGGCTGAATGTGTGAAAATCTCTCCCCTCCCATGGCTGTCTGCTGCTCCATGTCAGAATCAGACTGGTTCACAGCCCTGCTCTCTGGCTTGCCGGGGTCTCCAGGGATAAAGTCCTGCCTGAGGTTCTAGTCCTGGTTCCGCTAGTGGCTAGTTGGGTGACCTTGGCCAAGGCATGTTCCTGCTTTGTGCCTCAGTTTCCCCCTTTAAAAGCGGGAGGGGCTTTGGGATCTACTGTGGAAACAGAGGTTGGACAATTATAATCAATTTCATTACTTTCCCTGCCCTCCCAGGTCTCCCTCCCCCCCAATTCTGTGATGCCTGAATTTGACAAGAGCCCTCCCACACTCCACCCACACCTTCCCAGTGGGGTTGGGGGTATGACAGTGCCTTCTCCTCTTGGCCGGGGCTGGCAGTCCAGTAGAGATCCCCCCTCAGCCTGCAGATTGGCAGGCCTGCCTCTAAGCTCAAGATGCGGTTGCACCTGGCTAACGTTGATCGTCGTCTGGCTGAATGTCACAGGTCCCTCTGCAGGGAGAGAGGCCTTCGCCTTGGATTCGCCATTATTAAATTTGCAAAATCCCCCCCACACCCCAGGGTTAGAACTCCTCCTCCCGCTCCAAGACCCCAAGCAGCTGTGGTTTGAACTGAAAGGGGGATCTCCCCATTAGCTCTCTAAGGGGCTATGACACGTGGAGGTGCAGTTCTGCGCTCAGCCAGCAGAGGGCAGAGGTGCATGCCCCGTCCATTGCCCCGCCTGGCTCCTTGCAGCCAGGGATCACTTTATCAACATCCCGCTGTGTCTTTAAAGCTGCCAGGGGCTCCCTTTGCGCCGCACAGAACAGCTCTGGCCCCCCTCTCTGCCCCGTTATCTCGCCGCCCCCTCTGCATCTCCAGCCCGATATTTCCCCGCGTCTGTGCGGCCAGTCCGGACGCGGACACGCAGCCTCAGGTCTAATGCTGAGTTGAGGTTTTGGGGACCTGTGACAGCCTAGGCCTGTCTCGGGGAGATCTCCCTGTCTTAGGTTTCTGTATTGTTGCGGGGCCAGGGAATTGTGGGTAATGCCATGGGAGAAGGTGACCGCAGCCCGCTAAGAACTATGGGGAGGGGGGAAATCAGGCAGATTCACTCCCGCGAGATACTCCCCACTGGGGAGACTGGCCTAGACTGGTTCAAACTGGGTTCCCCAGAGAGCAGCAGACAAAGAAAGGATTCTTGGCTACATTGCCTGGGTTTAAACTGGCCGGGGACTTTCTTTCTGATCCTGCAACGCACCGGATCGTGAGCCGCAGGGGGGGCCCCGATCCGTAAGGAAGGGTTGGAAGGACAGACATGGGCCGAGGCTGGAGCTGGGGTGATCTCTGGGGAGCTTTTTAGCCCGCGTGTAGATTTTCGTGGTTTCTCCGTCAGGCTGTGACCCGTGGAATAAAGGCGCTTGCTTAGAGAGGGCTGGCGGGTGACCGCGGGGCCGTTCTGCGGCTCGTAGCCCCGGGGGATGAAGCAAAGCGTAGCCGCTGGCTCGTTGAGGCCGGCCGGCTCGCTGGGGGATTGCCAGAGCAGGGAACACCCTGGTCAGGACAGGGAGAGCGGCAGGGTTCTGCCCAAGAGAGGTGACTGCCGAGGAGCCCAGAAATGTGACAGATGCCAGGGCAGGAAGGTGATCCCCCCACCCCACCGCTGCTTCCCTGCCACCCCAAACTGAACCCACTGGGATGCTTTCATCCTAGTGAACCCCCAACCTGACTGCCCTGCACCCCCCAACTCCAGTGATCAACCCCCCCATATTTTCCCAGCACCCCCTCTGCAGGGTCCAGATCTGCCCAATTAACGCAGCCTTTCCCGGCAGGTACTTTCCACGGGTGAACTGAAAGTGAAAGGGAAAGAGGCGAGTGGCCGTGTCTCTGCAGAGGGCCCTGTCTGCCTGTCTCCCTCCCTCGGCCCCCGGACGGACGGCGAAATGTCGCGTGGGTCCAGCGCCGGCTTCGATCGCCACATCACCATCTTCTCCCCCGAGGGGCGTCTCTACCAAGTGGGTCAGTCTGTGGGGTGCCATTTGGGGGTGGGGGGGTTTCTCGTCCCTCGGGACTGAGGCCAGAGCGGGATTGGCGCCCTTGGTCCCAAGCTTGGGGCCTGGAATAATCAATTGGGGGGTGGGGGTGTTGCTGCTGGAGATCAGGACTCCTGGGTTCTGTCCCCGGCTCTGGGAGGGGAGTGGGGTCTAGTGGTTAGAGCAGGGGGGCTGGGAGCCTGGACTCCTGGGTTCTCTCCCTGGCTCTGGGAGGCCACGGAGTCCAGCAGCTAGAGGACACGGTTGGTGTCAGAAATCCTGGGTTCTGGTCCTGGTTCTGAGACGCAGCAGGGTCTAGTGTAGGGGTGGGCAAACTGCGGCCCGCCAGCCGTTGTAAGCCGGCCCTCGAGCTCCCACTGGGGAGTGGGGTCTGGGGTTTGCCCCGCTCTGGAGCTCCGGCCAGGGAGCAGGATCAGGGGCCGCTCCACGCGACTCCCGGAAGCGGCGGCATGCCCCCCCTCCGGCTCCTACGCGCTCCAGTGGCCCCCTCCGGCGCTCCAATGGGAGCTGCAGGGGGGGCACCTGCGGACAGAGCAGTGCGCCACCCGGAGCCTGCACCCCTGAGCCTCTCCCCACACCCCTGCCCCAGCCCTGATCTCCCTCCTGCTTGCCAAACCCCAGTCCCAGCCCAGAGCACCCTCCTACACCCCAAACTCCTCATCCCCAGCCCCACCCCAGAGCCCACACCCCCAGCCAGAGCCCTCATCCCCCCTGCACCCTACTTCCCCGCTCAGAGCCCCCTCCCGCACCCCAACCCCAATTCTGTGAGCATTCATGGCCCGCCATACAATTCCTATTCCCAGATGTGGCCCTCAGGCTAAAAAGTTTGCCCACCCCTGGCCTAGTGGTTAGAGCTGGGGAATTAGGAGTCAGGATGCCTGGGTTCGATGCCTGGGTCTGGGAGGGGAGTGGATCTAGAGTGGGTTAGGACAGGGGCGGGACTGGGAATCAGGACACCTGGGCCCTATTCCCAACAGCATACTGATTTGCAGCATGGCCTCAGGCAAGTCCCTCCCCCCGCCCCGCTGCGGGCCTCAGTTTCCCCATTCGTAAGAGGCGGCCGCCCTGCAGCAGCATGTAGGTTTTTGTCTGTGAAGCCCTGATGGAAAGCCCTTGAGCAGTGCCATCCCCCCCCCCCACACACCTCCCTCTCTCTTCTTGCATTTACCGATTGCTGTCTCTGGTTGCAGAATACGCCTTCAAAGCCATCAGCCAGGGGGGGCTGACCACCGTGGCCGTGAGGGGGGAGGACTCTGTGGCCGTGGTCACCCAGAAAAAAGTGCCGGTAGGAGCCCAGTGTGTGGGGGAGAGGCCGGAGATCGGGGATGGGGCCCTGCCTTAACGAGCCCTGCCTTGGCTCTTTGCTGGCATAGATCACGGCCCTGATCCTTGTGCCAGCTGAACCCGCCGCGTGGGGCGCCTTGGGGGAGAAAGGACACGGGCGCCGGAGCTGGCGTTGGGCCAGGACCCCAAGGCTAATGTCTGGGATCTTGCGCATCATGTGCCACAACCAGATGGGGTGGTGCTGTGAGCGTTGTGCCGGGAAAGCGCCCCCTACGGAGTCCCGCACCCTGGAGCACAGCGCCCCCTAGTGCCACACTGGGGTCAGCACTGACTGTGTGGGGAGAGCGCCCCCTACTGAGCCCCCCACCCTGCTCCCTGCAGCACAGCGCCCCCTAGTGCCACACTGGGGTCAGCACAGACACCTTGGGGAGAGCGCCCCCTACGGAGTCCCCCGCCCGGCTCCCTGCAGCACAGCGCCCCCTAGTGCCACACTGGGACATTGGGGCCAGCACTGACTGCCCCTCCCCCCACGCCCTGCCTGAGGTTCCCCACCCTAAAACCGAGGGATGAGCCGGTCCAGCTGTAGGGTGCAGGGGCGATTTCCACCTGGGCCCCGTGGCAACCTCCCTCCAGCCTGACCCCCGAAGGCAGGACCCATCGGGGCGGCACGTGACAGGCCGGGGCGTCCCGCACTGCAGAGGGAAGGGAAATCACCTGGCGTTGGTGTCCCCTAGGATAAGCTCCTGGATCCCGGCACCGTCACCAACCTGTATCGCTTGACGGAGACCATCGGCTGCGCCATGACCGGCATGAGCGGTGAGCGGGCTCCGGTTCCCTCCCGGGGGATGAATCCTGACCTGGCGTTAGCAATTCCTGGGGACGCCCGCTCTGTGCCCGTCCAGGCGGGGAACGAGTCTGGGCCAGCTCCAGGAACAGG